TTTTAGATCTGGGTTTTTTATAAGTTTTATCGGTCATTCTTATGATAATAATTTTTTATAGGTCTTGATTATATTCTTTTTCATATGATAGTGACTTGGATGCAATTATTATTTTTGGGGGTATTTTAGGTAGTTTCAAAGTTTAAAATAGTCAAAGGCTATCTTTGGATTTTGGGTATTTTCAATTATTTCCCTTGTATCGTTCTCTAATTTTTCATTTTTCATTTGCTCCAGCTTATTTTTTTCATTTCATTGAAAAATCATATATGCTTTGGTTTGCTACCTTCCAGTAGAAAATTGACCCAAAAAAACCTATCATTAGTGGTGGCCTTTTGGATGTGGTAAAAACACAGTTAATGTACCGTTTTCTACAGACGATGCTAATTTGTTGACATCGAAAAATGCACTAATAGAATCTCAGGCACCTCTCCTCTACGTAAACGTCACTTGCACACTGGAACACTATTAACGGGCAAACGATCGTCTAACCTTTTTCTTGACCAGTGACTTGTGTTCCCTAACGGAGTGTTCCAGTGTGTAGGTGACGTCTACATGGAGAGGGAGGTGACCGGGATTCTATTGGTGCATTTGATACTAGTATCTTAGTATCATTATATTATTATTGTTAGCATATGCACTATATTATTGTTGCCAAGTACGCATGCCCAACAAGACCACTTACACATAGCTAAGGTATAAGTTAAAATAGCTTGAAGAGCCCACGATGCAAAGCTCAGTGAAACAAAGGATAGGAGTGGGGTAGTCTTAGCTGAGCTGATAGCCGTAGTGTGAGGGTTCGATTCCGGTCTCTTACAAGGTATGAAATTGGACTCTTTGTGGGCACCAGTATGATAGCTCTTGTACCCTAACCTGTTGAGGCACATCCCGCGATTTACCTCCTCCACAATGGTCTAGGGGTGCGACAGTGGGGGACCCTCAAGGTTGGGGTTCAACCTTTTTAAAACCGCTTGAAGATGACTACTCAAATTGCCAAGATAGTTTTCCTAGATTGACGCACCAATTACAACCTTATTCGTCACATAATTCCATGTCCAAAAATGTAGTCCCAAGGAATTATTTCATTACGTCTCATCTACATGGTAGCCAACTAAGAAAATAGGAAGAAGTCATCTTAGGCCTGCACTCCGCATCACTTTGTCCTTCTAAACCTAATGAGGCGACTAGACAAGAAAGTCGAAGTGATTTTGGCACCCTAGCCGAAGTGACATGTAGAGAGGATAAACCTCCATGTTTAAAGTGAGGTCCTATATTTATCTGTTGCACATTTCCAAAATGATAGCCCATATTTATCATCTGGACATTGGACGCTTAAATCAACTTTTCAGTCTATTTTTTAGCTAGCTGGCCTAGGACATAGGTAGCCACTTTTTAGTTCATTTAAAGTTGCCTACAACCTAGGTTAGTTGGAGGTGATATTACCAAGTCTGACATGTGAGCCGTTAGCAAGAGGTCACATGCCACGCGTCCAATGAATAATGCCTCTTCACTTTTACTATAACAACTAACACTTGGTGTATTCCAAAGGTAATGCAATTTTACACTTAAACAATAAGATTCTT